TTGAAATATGCAAAGAAAAATATACCTTCATGACTTACTTTTTGAGATAATTTGGTTCGAAATTTGCATATTTGAAGGAAAAACCCTGAAATTTCAAAAATTAGGACTTTTAAGAAAAGTACCAATACTTTTGAACGAACAGTCATAATTTAACCGGGTTTTTTGTAAAATGTTCCCTTGATCCATGGCATCAGCATGCTGTAACAAGTTAACGGTTGAAATAAATAATTATATCCTAAATTCTTTTAATACAAGTGAAATAAAGAAGATGAAAATATTTTTGCGTCTACACAGAAGTGCAGAAAAAATTCTATGGTTGATTTTTTCTTAAAATTTTGGCGGAGCGTTCTTGAAACAGAACTTGATTGATTGCAAAAGAAAAAACTGGGGGTCCATGTGCTTGTTTTTTCAATAAAAGCAATAAACCTTAATTTTTATTGGCAAACGGGACGCCAATAAGGCGCCAAACTACGTTGGAATAAGTTTTATTCGCAACAACGTCGTGAAATCTTTCCCGCCGTTCACTACTACGTTGTCAATTTCAGTGGTAGAGCCAAGGTGTTTTTTTTTAAACCAATGATATTAATCATGAAAATTAATAAAGCTGGCTCCTCGTAAATAGCATCATATTTGCCAAACCTTTATGAATTGTTACGAAACTTGGATAGAAAAAGTATTCTAGTAAATTACTTTTAGAAAAGACATGTTCGGAAACAAAACAGATATATATAATAAAAAAATTAATTTGCATCTCTGCATGTCCGACATTAGTCATACAATTCATGTAGACAACACAGCTTGAACATAGTTTTAATTGTTCAAAAGGCCCCGACATGACAAAATGTGCAACAATTATAAAGTAAGGGGGATGATATAAAAATAAGGACATTTGGTATGATTGCAAAAGAGACAACTATCAACCATAGTTCAAATGACGAAGATAAACGCTATTAAAGGTAAACCTACGGCCTTCAACACAAAAAAAAAAGAAAAAAAAAAGCCACACCGTATAGTCAGCTTTAAAAAGCCCCGACATGAAAATGTGAAATAATTCAAACAAGAAAACTAACGACCTACTCTATAGGCATTACATGAACACAAAATCATACCCACATTAAATCGGGTCAGCTTAGTCCATTACAGTGTAGTACTAGTATAACATTTCATACAGCAGTCGATATAAGAGCATGAAATTTAATGATTCTGTATCAATAGATAAGTTACCTAAGCTTGTCTTCAGGGTTTTTTTTTTTATTACGGTACATATAATCATTGAATTACTTGTCTGTATTATACCTTCAATCTAGGAGTGAGTGCAACCACATTGTTTGTCCGGTCCAACAAATATTTTGTTTCTTATCTGAGAAACTTCTTTACAAAAAGACTTCGTATTGTTGTAACTTAACATCAATGAGTAATCAGGCCGTTACTCCGTTAGTTTTCTCGTTTGAATTGTTTTACATTTATCATTTCGGAGCCTTTTGTAGCTGACTATGTGGTATGGGGTTTGCTCATTGTTGAAAGTGTGAACTATAAATCTAACGTCATTTGGTCTCTGGTGGAGAGTTGTCTCATTGGCAATCATACCACATCTTCTTATCTTCAGGTGGAAACCCAGTAGAAATTAAACAAAAGAAATGGAACTCTTTGTTAGAGAAGGTAAAAAGGACAAGTTGGTAAATTTGAATTGTTTACATCTATTTCAATGGACTTTAAAAGTTTAATTAATGAATGTGCCTAATTTAGGATTTTAAGCATTTTATGTATGTGTTTTTACTTTAAATTATTGTATGAAACTTCAAGATATTTGTAATCTTTTAAATAATAGACAAATTTTCACAAAACAGTCGATTGTAGTAGGTGCAAATACATGTGGATCTTTTTTGTGCATAAGCATAAATTCCGCCGAAAAAAATCCAAAGAAATATAATAGATTGATCATTTTAAATCATTAATTTGCATCTCTGCCTCCGGCTACAGGTTTTTGGGAAAAAAATCCCAAAATGTGCAATAAGTCCATCGAAAAGAGAAAGTCGAGTACATCTTTTTATATTCAGGCGTGTTTGAGTTGACTATTTTGTCTTGAAAACGTATAAAAGAAAAATATTTGATACATGATCATCTCGCTTCAGATTCTGTTATTTTTATATATTAAGGCTCTATGTTGATATAATAACATTAGAAATTTACCGTACTAAAAAATGAAATGTATGGGTCAAGTGAAATACCTTTCTAATGAGTCATAAAAACAGACTAGGTGTGTTCGAATAACAAATTTTTTTCTAAAATTACTTGAAGACAGACTTTTCAAGTGGATCTTAAAAATGCATAACTTCAAAAAAAGTTCATTTTTTGTGTGTGTTATCTAGGGTAATTAGTCTTCAAACTCTGAAAATTTTTAGTCTGCCCTTCCATGAAATATTTAATTAGAATTTTTTAAAATATATTTGAACTTTCGAAAAATTCCCCCTAACAACCGATCAGACAATAGTTTTAATTTGACCAAATGCATAAAAGTACATTAATGATGCATAATAACTAGTAGATAAATTTGTCATTTAAAATACAACTGGCATAGAAGAATCGTAATGATGCTATGTGGATAAATTTATCGGTTTTCAAGAGCTAAATTGACAGCGTCATCACTACAATGGGTTCCATTTTTACGATTATAAAAATTAGGTGGCGTAATGGAGAGATAATTTTGACGAAGTAGAATCCTGACTTTATATTGCAATTATAGTTTAATTCCATATTAGGGAATAGATAAATCATGTTCTCTTATGCCATTGGGAATTGGGAATCAAACCACGTCTCGTATTATTATATTTATAATGTCTTCAACATTAAAGCTACCTGAAAGGGTCTTTAAAACAACTCATTCTGGCCAATGATATTATTTTTAAGATTGGTAGGGATCTTTATAAAATGAAATAAAAAAAAAAAAAAAACGATAGAATGTTTTAAGACTTTGCCAAATTGTATAGTTTATATAATGCCTTTTACAAAAAAGTAATATAATGTATGGGTCACGGAGCTATTTTTCATGCTACAAGTTTTGCAAAATTGTCAGATTTTGTATAGATTAGACATAAAAAAACAACAAATTTGATTGAATAGAAAGAACTTTAAACGATCGAAGTTTTAAATGAAATATGAGAAGATATTTCTTATAATTTGCTTTCAGAAACTTGTACCAGACTGAAAATTGGGGTCATGGAACACGTTTTCTCACAACAAAACAAAATGGATAAATTTACTATATAGATTTCTTTATTAAAGATGATCCGAGCTATCCACCCCGATATGGCTAAGTTAGGAAAAAAATAAATCAGACAAAACTATTCTGTATTAAAGTATTTGTAAGAAACAGTCATAATGATAATATACTAAATATAATTTTCTCTCATTTAGATTAAAAAGTCTTGCAAATAGACTGCATTCCTCTCTCAAAATTTTCATATTTCATATAAAAGATCTAAACCGATTGCTACCTGCTATTTTTCAATCCAAGATGGAAAGACACCAAATCTACCCAATTCAGAAAACCAAATATTGATCAGTGTCACACTATTGTTGTCTTCCGTGTGCACGACAAGGATATAATTGATTTGTTAGTTTTATTAATATGACCAATATTTTTATATTTTTTTCACAATTTTTAGAATGAAAAAGAAATGATATATATGTAGTATTCATGACACAGGAACCATATTGACTTTATAAAACCCATGCAAAGCAAAGGAACAGCGTGGAAATATTCTTGCTTTAAGAATTTAATTAGATATAAGTGTTCTTCATCTTTAATGATATGAACAGTACCATTTCGACAAAATATTTTCTCTCTCTTTATTTTTATTTATCTTCCTCTTGTATTTTCTAATATATTTTCTAAAGCTGTTAATCATTCTCACTAAAATGTGCAACGTATGAAAAATGTAGATGCTGCATGGTATAGGTCAATGAATCCTCAACCAAACGACGAAAAACAAAAACAAAAATCGAAAGCATGTTCCATTCTCATGTAATATTTTCGTAAGGCAGTAAGTATCAAATAACAATGGATTTATATCTATTTTGAAATTCTATCCATATATATTATCATTTGTATTCTTTTATTGATATTTATTATCTGTTCATAATTCTGCACCGTCATAATGGACGCCCTTTCATCAGGAGTTCTCGTAAGGGACTCTCTCGAGTGCAGATTGGCTAATTCACATTTCTCGTTTATTTTCCGTTTTTTTTTAATAATGATAAATATTCCCATCTAGCCTTAGTGCAGATTTGAGGTTATTTAAACAACTATAAAGGCGGAATAGGAAATTGAGGAAACATGAATTGAATCCATGTCATTAAGGTGGTTTTGTTTTGAATTATGTGTTGAGTCTACTGTAGGTTTCTGTGTGTCTGGGGTGGTGATAAAGACGGAAATATTGTCAAACATCGTTGGTGTTGTGTAAAAGGTACTTAGTAATATTTATATAACATTTTCTCTAAAAGTTTCATAAAAGTTGTGCAGTAAAAATAAGAATCTTGTCATTTCTCCTTCATGAATTTATAGCAACTGCTCTCGGCTATTTAAATTTTGAAAGGAAGGACATTGGGTTATTTCCTATTATTTTTCCCAGAATCATAAAACATATGAATTAAGACAAAATTGAAATTGATAATTGATACAATATTTTAACCCTATTTAAAAGACTTAGATATTTTCCAACACAGTATAATAAACGTACACAAATTGGTTCATTGAAAAACTTTTTTCGTTTTGTTAACTGCATATATTAGGAAATTTGTTTACATGGAAAAACATATTTTTTTTTGCATTGAAATATAATACAAATTACTTTTTGCATTACAAAAGAACATGTCTTGCTAAATTGTTTCAGACGTTACAGTATGAAATTTACTAAGTAGTGCCGCCGCTCGAATATAAAAGTATAGGACGTCATGTTCTATAGATATTATTAGCAGGTTATTCCAGATATTCCATTGCTTGCGTTTCCTACCATGATTTCCTTGATAGAGGGTAACTGCTTACAAGGAAATATTGAATCAAGGGTTCCGAGTGGTAAAGTTGAAGTCATCTTCCGCCTATTTTTGAAGTAATTTGAGTATGATTTCAGTGATTACGAACAATATTTGACATGCTATAATGTATTACTGTTTTGTTTATACCTGATGTTTTCCCTACTTATTTTATCGGTATTTCAGAGGTAAGTGCTTTTTTTTAACTGTTTTTTTTTTCTATTGTGCATTCTTCTGTGTATCTTTTGTTATTCCATTGATCTATATTAAAAGGGGTGACATCTAAAACGCTACTTTAATCCCACCACATATTAATTCATATGCCTGAACCAAGCCAGGAACCGATTCGGTTAATACAATGTTTTTTATTTTGTCTTTTATGATATATGGTGTTTATGCCATATGTTTTTAATCTCTTTTAAATTATTCATATTTACTCAGACACCAAGTGATTCAGAGCTTTACACATTTTATAAACATTTATCTACAGCTGAAGACCATCGATGGATTTTGCGTCGTTTAGTTGCTGCCGCATTGACGTTTACCCCACACCAACTTTACTTAAAAAAAAATAAATTGGAAAAAGAAAAACTCAATTATTGCATAATTCTATTTCTTTTTCATTTCAAACAAATTCCCATGTAGCTTTGGCATAATTTTCATCTTGCTTTGATGATTGCTTTTTTCAGTAAATAAAAATAAAATAAATGGGAAATTGAAAAAAAAACCCATCTGTTTACTCACGTAAATGTTAATTGTTAAACTTTCCGAACCAGATAGAAAACTCTCTACAGTTTGTTGCCAAATCCTAACAGTTTATCAATATGGTACGATTGCCAATGAGACAATTTCCCACCAAAATCAAAATGTCGTGGATGTAAGCAATCATACGTATATTCCATCCAACTTCTATCGTAATTCATCGAATGCTGCGGTACGAGATTATCATTTGCAGCTAGGATTATGGTACTTGATAAAGAGATTTCTACCACACTAAAATAGTTAAATCTTTTTTGTTTTTAGATGACGACAGAAGAATTTACATGTCCAATATGTTTTGACGGAATCATATTACCAAAGATACTTGAATGCGGGCATACGTTTTGTTTAAAATGCATAAAAGATTATTCCGACGACATAAAAACCGACAATAGAGATTTAGTATGTCCACTGTGTCGATCTAAGTTTAACCTGCCAAAGAGAGGACCTAGTCAGTTAATCACAAATTATTTCGTTAATATACCAAAGCCACAAAAGTATTGTCTTAACTGCCAGAAAACAGAAAAAATATCAAGTTTTTGTCTTGTTTGTGGTTCATTATTTTGTAAAAAGTGCTTTAAGTCTCACATTCACTCAATCGTTAATAACAACTCCCCAGATGACGAAAACGACGAGGATGAACTTTCAATCCCACTACACTTGTTGCTACAAGGAGTTCGAACAATGTTTACTTGTAAACTGCAATCTTACTTTGTTATAGACATTCCACAAAACAACGACGGGAGTCATATCATTCATTCTGTACGAGCGTCTAAATATGGAGGAGTTTATGTTGTGCCCGATCAAGTTAATTTCATTTTAAAGTTTGATCAGACTGATAGAATACAAGAAAAAATAAGGATAAAGACACCGCCCCAACTGCAGTGTAGTGGAGTTATCGAAACGGACATTAACACTTTGCTGGGGACATTTCCTGTTAAGAAATTAATACTGAAATACGCATCCAGTTGCTGGTCCATCTTCGCAACTTGCTATGACTTTCATCCACTTGATTTGGTAGAATTGTCCAATGGAAATATACTGGCGTGTGGCCCAAATCGTTTGCTGGTGCGTAAGGAAAAGTTTATCAAACGAACAGGGAATTTGCAGGTATACTCAATTCGAGGAGAACCATTGTTCAGATTAGATAAGTTACTGGGCAACACTAAGACTTTAGCATATCCAAGTATACTGGCTTACGACAAAAATAGGAAGGCCATATCTGTGGTCGACCAAGAAAACAAAGAAATGATAGTGATTCACGAAAAAGACAAATCGTGTTATACTTACAACGGGAGTGGCAGGCCGATTGTTCCATTTCCATTATCATTATTTGGAATAGGTGACAGTTGCCGTGTACAGTTTTTTCCATTAGGACTCTGTGGCAGTTCAAATGGACTTTTCATGATGACTTCCAACGATGAATGTCTACATATGGTAGATCGATTCGGAAAACTGGTTGGAGTTGGACAGACAGACGACAATGATAACTTTGGAAGACTCGTTACAATTGACGAGAAAGGAGGTATATGGTGTAGTGATCCGCAAAATGGTGCCATCAAAACTTTCAAGGTTATAAATTACAGGAACGAACTCGACGGTAATAAAAAGTCTGGTATCCGTGGCAATATCACGTCTGGTAACCGTATAAGTGTCACATCTGGTATCCGTGGAAATATCACGTCTGGTACCCATGGAAGTGTCACATCTGGTATCCGTGGAAATATCACGTCTAGTATCCATGGAAGTGTCACATCTGGTATCCGTGGAAATATCTCTATATCGAATAGATCACAATTTGTTCCAATATAAAAAAACAAAAAACAGTCTTATTTTCTTAACGTTCCATTTTTTCGACTTGTTTACGTCATAATTCAACAAAAGACATCTCACCATTTTTTGGATGCATTAATATGTTTGCCTAATGACGATACCAATTGTGTGTCAGTTCTCCATCTTTTTAAATGGATATTTTTGGATAAAAAATAGGGATATATCGAAGTCCAAACTTTTTTGGAAGGTTTTTTATTGATAGTTTTTTGGAAGATATTTTACTGGTAGTTGAATTCTTTGCATAAAAACGATGACGATAAGTTATGGGGCAGCCTGACTATTAAAATTTTTGAAATTAAACAAATCATTTATCGTCCTTTCCTTCTCCTTATCACCCTGTTTAGTCTCTCTGTAATTATCCGATCGCGACTTTGAATGGTAAAATACATCTATGGTAAAATCAATAAGAGTACAGACACAGAAATATCTCGCCTTCTTTACTTGATTGAATTTATGTTGAAAGTCTCTTATACGATTAACGTTTTCCTACAAGTGTCACGTAAACTTAACATTTTCCATGATCCATGTAAATCGGAGCCGTTAAGGTCAGACGAACACTGTCAGACGGACATGTAGAACTTACAAACATTTTATACACCAAACAAAGTTAATCTATTGCGTATAGTTTATGAGAAACAGACCTAACCATGAAAACTTTACACTGATAAATGAACCATGAAAATGAGGTGAAGGTCAGCTGAACCTTGCCAGAAGGACACGAACACCATGCAGTAATTCCACACACCAAAATTAGTTTACCTATTAATAATAGTATATGAGAAACAGACCATGGAAGTATTGTATTGACCTTTTCATTTTACTTCCCTGAACAGACTAACCATAAAAAACTTAACGTTGACCGATAAACGATGACAATGAGGTCAATGTCAGATGAACCCTGTCAGGCAGATATGTACACCTTACAATTATATATATGAGGTCACGGACGGATGAAACCTAACAGATGGGCATACACCTTACAATCATTCCATACACTAAATATAATTGATCTACTGCTTATAGTTTATCCTAGAAATGGAACTTATCACGAAAACTTAACCTTAATAACAACACGAGAGCATACAAATCAAGCACAAAAACTCAGAATGAACACGCTTTAACTGTAACAACACGAGAGAATACAAATCAAGCACAAACACGTATCAGTTGATCAGATCAGATGAATCATATAGAGATGTCTATAAAGTTGTAAAGTTTGGTACACAATTCTATTAGCCTGGGATCCTGGCCCAACTTTGGCTCGTTGAACTATAACTTAATATCGAAAAAATGATGCATTTATCTCTTCAATTTTCTAAAATATTACAGAATGAATTCTTTCAAAATAGGTGAATATATGTAATTTAAGAAAAAAGAAGAGATAAATACATTATTTCTTCGATATTTGGAATTTGATGCGACTGTCATACAAGTGAGAGGTTAGCTAGCTATAAAACCAGGTTCAATCCACCATTTTCTACATAAGAAAATGCCTGTACCAAGTCAGGAATATGACAGTTGTTATCCATTCGTTTGATGTGTTTGAGCTTTTGATTTTGCCATTTGATTATGGACTTTCCTTTTTGAATTTTCCTCGGAGTTCAGTATTTTTGTGATTTTACTTTTTTTTATATTAAGTGACAGTTCAATGAGTTAAAATTATACCAAAATCTGTGACATAAAATTGAGAATGGAAATGGGGAATCTGTCAAAGAGACAACAACCCGACCAAAGAGCAGAAAACAGCCGAAGGCCACCAATGGGTCTTCAACACCGCGAGAAAATCCAGCACCCGGAGGCCGGCTTCAGCTGGCCTTATATCAAAAATGTGTACTAGTTCAATGAAAATGGACGTCACACTAAACCCCAAAACATATAAATAAACTAAAATTAAAAAACATACAAGACTAACAAAGGCCAGAGGCTCTTGACTTGGGACAGGCGCAAAAATGCGGCGGGGTTTAACATGTTTTGTGAGATCTCAACCCTCCCCTACACCTCTAGCTAATGTAGAATAAACAAACACACAGCAATACGCACAGTAAAACTCGGTTTAAAAGAAGTCCGAATCCGATTAGAATAGGTAACAAAAGAAACTAAGCAAAATGACAATGATACATACATTGACAAAGGACTACTAGCAGTTACTGACCTGCCAGCTCCAGACCTCAATTAAACTGATTGAAAGATTATGTCTTCATCATATGAAAATCAAACACAATTCCTCACGTTAGGTGTTTAGTATCATACCATCATAGCCCATTTACTGTACCTTGACCTTAATTGGTAATCTGCTATTCTTAATTTTCTAATCATTCATTTGCAACATAGGACTTCATGTGGTCTGCAACTGGTCACAACCACAACCTTTTGGGAAGAAATTTGTGAATAGCATTTATTTTGCAAAACACATTTCATTATGTTACTTTTGTCGTTGCATTGGGGTCTTAATGACCTATACCATTATGTCTTTTTATTCATAATCGTTGGCCATGATTTTACAAATGTGTTTGAATCAAAATAACCGTTCCAGTTAGTCAATAACCATTAATGTGACGACTTGTATACTCTCCAACAAAAGAAACGCAACATGTGAAAAAATATTATTTACTTCAAATTTTTAACATAATTTTAGATACAGAAATTGCAATTTTAATATTTTAATCTGAAATAAATATTTATCATTATAACATAACAGATTGCATTCATGTTAACTAATTATTTATGTACTGGATTCATCGTATCTATATTTCGGTAGAATTATAAATTGACGTCCTCAAATGATAATTTAGCACCGAAAGATTCGGTATTTCAAAAGCCCTAATATTGCAAAAACAATTCTTTGACGTGATTGTTAAAGAAGACATAGTTGCTTAAATTACCTCCATTTGTTTATCATATTTTAAAAATTGACAATTGTTACATGATAAAAGAATAAAACATATACATCTTCTCAGAAAATCTTACATAATGCAACCAATGCCACACGTGAGGAGAATATACACGCCACATGCAGACACTGTCCTTCAACTTAGATTTTAATTCTAAATTTGACATATATATATATATATATTTTAAGAAAACAGCGTCCATCCAAAGGGATTGGTTCTCGGCTTAAATTTCAAAATTGTTTTCTGCTATACATCGATGATGTAATGTCTCTTGACAGGTATTACTAAAGTGATTAAGTAAACCTCATCTTGTATATTCTTACTAGTACAATAGAGAACCACTGTCGTTCTAACACAACCGCGTCTGATTCTTGTTTGAAAATAACCAAGCATTACTTTTACGGGAGTTCGTATTGTTCAATCTTTTCATTGTTGTCTGTTACACGTAATTTATTGTGCATTTATGTCTGGTTGTCTCGTTCTTATATTATCCTAGGGATTTTTTTATACTATTTCCATGTTAGATTATTTGCAAGTTTAAAAAAAAACTATTGTAGATTTTCAGATTTTCATGAGTAGGAAATTTTCCTCAATGTGAACTAAAAAAGTCCACAACAAATGAACGGAGATGATTATGTTTCAGTCATACTAAAAGTTATGTTGTTCTGTTACATGACTGTCCCGGGTTAGAGGAGGGTTGCCTGTCCCTAGTCTCCGTGTAATTCAGTAGTTTTCGTTGGTAGCTATTTATTTTTTTGTTTATTGTTTTGTCATGAATCAGGCCGTTGGCTTTTTCGTCTGAAATTTTTCACATTTTGTCATGTCGGGGCCTTTATACTGTATTTGTTTTGCTCATTGTTAAAGGCCGTATGGTGACCTAAAGTTGCTTGAATCTGCTTCATTTGGACTTTAAAATTGTTTAATTGTTTTCTCATTGGCAATTATACCACATCTCCTATTTTATATTGACCAATGAACCAAGTACACCCATCATCATGACAGTGGTTGCAAAGCTACTTGTCAATTTCAACTTTATTTTGAATTGGGATTACACAATCGTGATTATGTAGTAGCCCCTTTTGTTGTTTAAAATAAAAACATTTTGAAAATAAACTAATTTTCCATTCCATTTCAAAACAAGCAATGCATTTTTCATGACATTTAGTCAAACATTTTATTTAAAAAAAATGCATCCCTCTTCCAAAAAAGGAAAACAAATCGGTGCATAAGAAAGAAAATTTCTGCATGATATATTTAGCACCGATGTTTCAAATACTAATCAACTGTGAAAGATATTCTGGAGCCGTAAATTTTACGAGATCCATTGATATCATTTAAATATGAAAACAGAGAAGTGATCAGGAGTCGTATGATTGTAAGATACATTGTACTTGCTTAAAAATATTGTGTATAAAGGGAAAAGTTCTCTTTTGCATAAAAGTCAGTAAAAACGTGCCTCTCTTTGTCGATTGAAATTTATACATTTAGGCTATACGTGCGTGAATATACATTTGTAAAAGAGGAAATGCATTTCACACACTAGTCTTAAATGTCAATCTTTACTAAAAACTCAGGATGTCTTTTATGAACAAAAATGTGATTTCCCCAGTATTTTTTTTAACTTGCAAGGTAAATATCTAAAAGTTGCAAAATCCAACTGGACACTGATTATTAAACAGTCTTTATCATTTTCTTAAATATATTGTTTCCCAATCTAAATTATTATCTGTTGTTGATAAAGGCATATTTTGTTACAAAACTGCAAATTTTACATGTTTTTGTAAAATTTTGCAACTCTAACCAAATTTAATTAATTTGAATCCGAAAGGCATTATACATTATAAACCTTCTTTATCATGGTGAATTGGTAATAATTATGTACTTCCGAACTTATTCTTTGCATAAACAAAGTCTGTGGTGTAATTTATAACGCACAAAAATATGTTTGACTTACATTGGTCAAACAGATGTTGGGATGTAGGAATAAAGTTTTTTTTTGCAAAAACTGTTTGATTTTAAAAGAAATATTGGAGGAGAGAAATACATAAATATCCAATTGCAAGACATTTTTTTTACAATCCCTGGAGGGAAAGGATTCAATTTCAAATAATTAGCTGCACATGGTATAAGCATTTTATTTAACTGTTTGTTGCATAAATTTTAAAGCTTTTCAGAAAGCTTATGGAATTTTAAACAATCATTTTGTGATTTGGTGTAAGTACAATATAAAATAAGGAGATGTGGTATGGTTGCCAATGAGACAACTTTCCACCAGGGACCAAATGACGTAGATGTTATAGCAACTATAGGTCAACGTACGGCCTTCACCAATTAGCAAACCCCATACCGCATAGCAAGCCATAAAAGGCCCAGACATAACAAAATGTAAAGCATTCCAAACGAGAAAACAAAA